TGGCCACTGTCGGTAGACAGGATACTGGGCTAGATGGACCTTTGGTCTGACCCGGTACGGCCTTTCTTATGTTCTTGGAGGCTTTCTGAGTGGAAAACGTATGCACACGAACACTCTCTGTAGTCATATTTCCCGCTGTTCTCCAATAGGTGGTGGTAGAGAGTTCCTTTCCTATAGAGCTTCCGTTTATCTGGCATTCTAGGTAATCAGCTTAGCAAGCTCTTGGCCATTCTTATTACTGTTCACCAGTAGTTGGTGGCAGAAAGATCCTTTCCCTCTCTAGAGTTCTGATCCATTCCTTCCCCTGTTCACCAACAGATGGTGAGCTGCTTACCCTTTATAGCTTCAGGCCACATAGTTTACATATTAATACAAATATCTCTGATAATGAAAAAGAAGGAAGACAATCTAAAATATGACACAGTCATTAAACTGCTTCAGTATCTAATGCTTTATAATGTTTTCTAGGTTGTGCCAAAACCTCTTGAAGATGAATAGCTTTGTATGCTAAGTATGAATGATCAGAAGCAGCTGCTGCTTTGGCGAGAGTTTCCTCTGTCACTTTCTTTTTCTTTTTATTCCTGATGCACTAAAGTTGTAACAATTTTTGTTGGGAAAGATTGTATTGAATACAGAATATAGCAAACCTCTTACACTTCCCACTGATTGAGATAAAAAAAATCAGATTTCTGATCACAATAGAGCTTCTTTCAAATTTCATCATTAGAGTGACAACACAAGTAATTCAGAAAGTAGTTGTGCTAGTTTTTGAGACAGGTTGTCTCACTGAATTTCTTAGTTTCAGTAATTCCTCTTCCCCTTTCAAATCAACCAGATGGTACAGTAAATGTGGTGAATTTTTTATATGGATCTAGACCTTAAGATGCACAAAATAGAAACTAGTTTCTTATTTCTTCCATTTTTAAAAAAAGATGCTTCTATCTTGGCATTGCCAAACAAAGAAATAGTATTATCATAAATATTCCTGAAAGGAACCTTCTTGTGTAATTATTATAGTGAGTGCCTGGAAGAAGAAACCTTGTTATCCATAATTCTCCCTTAGCCTCAGGGAATGTGAATTAGGCTTGAAGTCTAGAGTCTCTAAATTCTATTCCCACTTCTTCCACTAACTGATCTTAATAATTATTTGCACTTTACCATTCTTATTTAGCGGGGAGGAATATTTGGCTGCATATTTTCTATAGAGGGAGAAGCTGATTTCAAAGGAAATTGAAAAAGAAGGTACCCACAGCAGGAATGGAGCTTTCAGACTTTGCTGGAGGGAGTGGTTTACTAATCTAAACATAGTGGAAATGTTTACTTCCCTGAGCCAGTGATTTAAATCAAGGCAGAGTTGGCTCATAGCTTCAACAAGATGGAAACACTGATATCACTGTAGTTTTATGTGTGGATTTTTCAGATCAGACCTCAAAAACTGAAGCTGCATTGGCTGTGTGAAGACATCACAAATAGAGCTATGTGAATAACTGACTTTTTTGGTTCAGTGGCTGAACCAAAACATTAACAAAAATAGTTTGGGGCTGACCTGGAATGGAAATAATTCAGTAAACCGAAAAAGTAATTATTTTTTGGTCACATAAAACATTTAGTTCAACCTGAAACAAAATGTTTTGTTTTGTTTGAATATTTTTAACCTTTAAAAAAATAAAATTGAAATGAAGTTCAAAGAGAAAAATAATTTTGAATAAAAAGTCAAAATATTTCATTTCAAAATTGTTCAAATGAAATGTTTTATTTTTTTTTTCAGAATTTTTTGTTTTGGTTTGGTTTCTGACCAAAACAATTCAGCAAATTCAACCCAAATTCACACAATATTTTGGTCAACCCAAATCTGCATTTTTGGCTGAAAAGATTTTGGTTGAAAAATTGTGCCCAGCCATTGTCACAAAGCCCTGAGGCACTTCTGAAGAGCAGAGGCTTGCGCTGGTGTCATATAAAAATTCCCTTCCCTACACCATTATGCAGCATCCTGAGTACAAACCAACAGAAATTCAAAGCCATGAGGACTTCTTTGGAGGTTTATGTCCCTTCCCACTCTCATCCCTCTTTTTTCATTAAGAAAACCCTAGAATATGAAATGCAAAAGATCTGCATTCATGCAATGTTAAAGCTGCAAGGCTAAATACACTAAAATGCCACAAACACCAAAATTCATGCAGAGCCTGAACTCTGACCCTCATGTGGATGCATTTGGACACATTCTTTAATTACATAATCAATCACATACCATTTCTTAAATACCATATATCATACTTTTTTCTACCACTTAGATACATATATAGCATCCATTAATATTTCGCCATGTATTTCAGACAAAATCAAGATAAGTCATTTATCTGAAAAGACACACACTATAGACAAACCATACTCAGAAATCATAATGACAGTGAACAACATAGAATAATTGAAACAAGTGAAAATGTTTTGGCATACAGAGTTAGTACAAAACCTTTCAAAACCTACATCACTATTAGCTGTGCTTCATGAGTACATCTTAATGCAAACACACTGTCACTATTTTATACACTTAAATAGCACCTGGAAACAAACCATTTTTATGTCAAGGTTTTCAAATGTCCAATTCTCAATTTACCTGCATTTGTGTTTTTAGAAATTGATAACTTTCCCCAGAACTTTCACTTTTCTCTGAGATGTAATTCATTACTACTGTAGGTCAGTATGTATTGGTAAACTGAATCAGAAGGTCTAACCTGAATATAATTGGGAATTTTTTATATGAAACATCCAATGACCCCAAACTAATTCTCCAGGTGGGGTAAATTAGTGGACAATGCTTTCTCCAAGAAAATAAATTAACAAGCACAGATACATTTTCTCTTTCCAAAACATGTCTGCAAATCATCACTAGAGGGATAATACTAGCAGTGAGAATTACAGTAATTCCATGGAGGAAATAAAACTATTTATTTAAATACTATTAAAACACAATGTTTGTGTGTGTGTGTGGAGGGGAGCTAGCTTTCAGCCTTCTAAGAGAGTTCAGAGAATATTTCTACCCAAAGAAGGCAATATGGCAAGCTTATAGTGGTTGTCAAACATGTTGCCTGATATTTTTCTGTATCCAACTCACATGCCCTTCATGTCAAGCACAGCATAAAGATGCTGTTACCCTAGTAGAGTAGG